CACATCGTACTGATGCCCGTCTAGGCTTTTCTGCCAAAATTTTTACTCCTGTAACAACATTTACACTGCTATCATGGACAATGACATAGATTTTTTTTTGGATGAATGTCAGACTTGGAAATGACATTCTGCAGCTCCCTAGCAATATTTGCAGCTGTGTGTCTCTCCTCATGTGGCATGGTTGTGAGGCTATATAACTTAATTTCCCAATTCTGCCCAAGGAAATGACAGGTCACCCCCAGATATGCCTCTGTGGCTGCAGTTGTCCAAATGTCTGTTGTGAGTACAATTCTGTCAGTTTCCTTTAGGCAGTTCTTCAGCTTTTCTTTTATTTTTTGATACCAGTTCTCCATTAATTTTGCAAAATGAGTTCTTGAAGGAAGATTGTATTTGGGGCTGAAAGTGAGAACCATTTTTGAAACCCTTCATCCCCTACCATGGCCAGGGGATGAATATCCATGATAAGCATGTTTAAAATCCTGTCAGTAAAATTCTTTGCCTGCTCAGCTGAACATGGTTGAGCCATGTGTGTAAAGAAAGTTGTCCATATCAGATTGTGGTTTGTTGAAAAAGTGGAAAAAAAAATTAAATCTATGTAATCTCTTTAAATAGAGAAAATTGGCTATGATCAGGTTAATATCCGGTCAGCTACAGCCTGTAACTTTTTTAGAATGTAGTGTTAATAAATGCTCATAAAATATTACTCAGACCAATATCTGCAGTTTATTGCATCCAGTTTATTCATACATCCAGAATGTACAAAATCACATTGTCAAAATATATTTTAAAATATGGCAAAACACACTGTCCTCTTGTAGTTAGTATAGTAAAGTGTTGGTGTTAGCAAAACTGTTACGAACAGTTAGGTCCCCCAGTTTATGGCATGGCAGTATTGAGCAATATATTCATATTTTAACCATACCAATGCTATTGGACAGAATGAGAATTTTTCTGAATGAGCAGTTTGGAACCTTTCAATGAATGCCCTGAGCAAACGTTTAACATCATTAAACTCATCAGCTTATAGCGGCATTGTAGCAACACAAAATTAAGTTTTCTGTTTTGGATATAATTAGTGCTTCCATCTTTTCTCAGCCACCTTTTAAACCTTTTAAATTTAGCTTACTTTACGATGCTGGTTATTCATTTGATTGGAGAGACAGTAAATTAAGTAAAAAAGAATTCCATTACCTTGTGTCTGGTCCCCTTTGTGTTCAGACAGGATTCTTCCTTGTTAAATGCTGTACCATGGATGATGTCCTGTTGAAATGCTTCCAGACTTTTTGAGCCATTTTTTACCACTCTACCTTTTCCTCTTCCCTGTTTTAATTGTCTTCCATTCTTTCAGACAACTGTTGTGTCTGAATTCAGGGGCTGCATCCTTCCAAGGACACCGTCTAGGGAGGCGTAACCTTTGTAGGCTGCGTTCTTTTAAGATTGAACAGAAAGCATTGTCAAATGGAATGGTCTGGCCATCACCAGCTGTTCCCACCCTTCCCTTTGAGTCACGAAGCGTCCCTCCTGTTGTCTAGCCGGCACACACCCACTTTATCTCTGCGCGATGAATCTTGGGATATGTTGGGCTGCGAAGGATCCATTGGATGAATCCTTCACGACTCAGCAAAAGGAGGATGCATTTCTAGACTGCATTTGAAGGAACCTTCCAAATAGGACAGCCTTGTTGCACCACTGTAATGCATTTGGTCTAAGAATGTAGCCTTAGAATGGTGCAGGTACACCTAAATTAAACTAGATTCCAAAAGACAATGAAAAATAATGTTAAAATTAAATTTAAAAAATCACAATCCAGACACAGCAAACCACATGCTTTTCTCTTTATGCTCCAGTTAATATCATCCATGGACTGCTACAATCTGTGTTTAATAGTTCTGTGGATTATAATGCAGATAATCTAAGCAGAGCACTTTCCCATGGTAGGAACTTTTTTCTGGAACCAGGAACTTCTGTTGTGCTAGGAACTCGGTCCAATTGTACTTCCTGAGAGGCACTACTGGGGTTGGATAACTTGCAGATTGGTTGACCACAAGCACCAGTGCTAACCTGGAAGTTATGTGGAAGTGCAAAGAGATAAAAGTAGCAGAGCAAAAATTGAGCAGATGGAATTACTTTTGTACCTGGATTACATTGAATGCCTTAATGAATACCTTTATGCTTGAGTCTCCATATTTCTGCATTGGAAAATTCGTTCAATAAACAATATCCTTATGTCTAATATTGCCAGTGCTGGTGGTGAAACTTGCTAGTTCTTATTAATAGAATATTGTTACATTGTTTTTTATTTGGTGAAAAATGAAAGATGGATCTGCTGGTGTCACGCCCCCCTCGTTACCTCGTGTTACTTCCTGATTGTGATCACCTGTGTCCTGTCATTTCTGGCTAGTCTGATGTATATGAGTCCGCGTCTTCCTCTGTTTCCCAGATCTGTCATGTGTATTGTTAGTGGATGTTCGTGCCTGTCTGCCCTGTCGTCTCCAATAAACCCCGTTTACCCGTCCATCCGGCTGATCTCGCCTGCTTTCCTGCTCGCCCGCTCCACCAGCGTGACAGCTGGCCAGATTTAATAATGAATTATAAACATGTTGCAGGTTCTATAAATAAAATATAAATAAAAGGTTGTTTCTCATTAGGATCGCGATCCATCCCCCTAATAACTAATAACTAACAAAACGACTTGTACATTATCATTCTTCCATGCTTGTTTAACATAAAGGTTCCAGTTCCAGTTGTGCGGTGGGAAAGCAACACACGAAAGTGGCCAAGATTTATAACAGTTCCTGGTACAGGCAGTCCAGGAACCAGGAACTATATTTATTACAAAGATGTGTATTTATTACAAAGCATTTTTCAACAATATAGATAAGATGGAAAAAATATGAATATGTTACATTGCATATCGATTTTGTGCTGGTGCACAAGTTTTCAGTAAGGAGCCCCAGTACTACTAGTGGAAAAGGTTTGTCTGGAGTAGGGGTGGGCGATATGACCTAAAACTATTATCATGGTATGTTTCACTTTTTGGACGGTTGACGGCTACTGCATCATATCACAGTATTTTTCCAAGTTTGGGAGGAGTAGCATGTCCTGTCTCTTTATTTTAATTAAAATACAAAAATACAAACACAAAGGGAATGACAAGCTGCTTCAGCCAAAAACAGTGCATTTTACTTTTCATTTTGAATAAAACTAAGGGTTGTCAACTTTGGTCAGCTGGCTGGAGTGAGATTTTCAATTTGAGACAAGTCTGCACACACATGCACATGCATTTACATGTATGTAACAGTTTTATTATTTTTTATTTATCCTGTAAATAGTCTGAGGGTTTGCAAATTACCCCTGAACTTTTGATGTAGCTAATTTCAGGTTAATAATGGACACAAAATTTATTTTTAATTAGTTAATTTGCTATCAGGACACATCGTCAGAATATGTTTAATAGAAAATTCACACAAGACAGATAAACCGGTTACATATACTACACAAGGGCAAATATTCAGATTACAAATTGAAGTTTTTAAGAAAATCTTCTCACAATGTTAAAGGTATTGTGCCCACCCCTAGTCTGGAGCCCTGAATTATTCAAGTAATCGTTCTGCTCTGTTTACCGTATTACCTTAATACTGCCCAAGCCTCCTTTACACGGTGTTGAGTTCAGTCTGTATAGTTCTTTTATATCGTGTATGTCTTTCTGGTACTGGTATTTGGCTTTGTGTTGGATTTACAAAATGTCTACTCCAGATATCAATATTCAAAGTTACTAGCACCTAAACTAAAAATGCAGCTACTGAAATAATGGAAATGATGAGCTAGGCCTGTCACCATAATTACTGTATGTTATCCACCCATCGCACAATATATGGACACAACCTCAGTAATTTTTCCTGACCTGGATATTGGCAAATTGTGTTTACATAAGAATGAATGCCCCCAACATTTTAGCTAGTCGTGGCCCTCTCTCAGGGTCACTGGGTGCGGCTCAGGACTGATTCATCCTTCACATGAAAGGATGCAAGCCACGTGAATGTTCATACTTCTAGCGCCAAAGCTCCAGGCAAGCTGCTCTTAAAAGTAATGTTTATAAAGTGTGGTATGTTTTAAGAATGAGTAAGAAATTCACAAAACTTTCAAAAACCGTTATAATTGTTATAATATAATATAATTGTTGAAAACATTTCCATAAGCTGAAATAAAGGATGCAGAACATAAAATAGAAGCTACTAACTAAATGACAACTAAAAATATTGGGTCCAAAACCAACTCAGATAAAAACAAATGTCAAATCCTCCCATTAACATTTTAAAATACTGTTTAGCTAAAGTAATGATTTGTTTATCTTTGGGCCTCTCATGCAATGAACTTGAACCATAGAAAGAGCCAACAGCACTATATTGTAACATTTTGTAGTAGCCAGCAAAATCTACACCTAAATTAAACTAGATTCCAAAAGACAATGAAAAATAATGTTAAAATTAAATTTAAAAAATCACAATAACACTGACACAAAAACATACACGAGTATATGGTATTGTATTACAAACTTAGTTTGTAGCCGCCTGGGAACCTTTATAATCCTGTTGAATGTGGTGATCGGTGGTCATTGTTGACACACCACAGCACACAGTGCACAACAATGAAATGTGTCCTCTACATTTAACCCATATGTGACATTGTGACATAGCAGGGGGCAGCTAATTGAGCACCTGGGGGTGGTACCTTGCTCAGGGTATCTCAATGGTGCCTTGCTGGTCAGGGATTCGAACCAGCAATCTTTCAATTACAAGTGCACTTCCCTAACCATTAAGCCACCACTGTAGCGAGGAATCATTCAAATGCCCGTATTACCAGACTTTCTGTCAACCATTCTTCAAATCTGCTGGCCATATTTGTTATCATTCTGATCACAGAGGGTGGAAAAGGTATAGCCTATATGCAATCTTTGGTCTGATTTCTTTCTGAGTTGCTGTTACTTTTCCCCTGGCCAGCCGGCGAAGGCGTGGGGGGATCCTCAGGCAACCGACGAGTCGAAGCAGAGGAACCTACAGGTGACCAATGAGGTGCCAGAGGGGGACCCGCAGGCGACCGCCGAGCAGGAGCCCGGGGGAACGCAGGCACCCATCGAGCCCCAGCCAAGGAGACGAAGGAGGCGAGCCAGGGGGCAGGTGTCCCCTCCTCTTCCGGGAGACCGAGAGGTGAGGACCCGGCCGGGATCTGTCCTGTTGTGGTGGCTGAGTTACTCCCCTAGAGAGGTCAAATGGGGTCATCAGGGAAATCCCAGAGGGGTTCCGCTCCTTGCTCCTCTTAGGCACGCCCAGAAGTTTGGGGGCAGGGGGGTTCTGTCATGACCTGCTCGTCAGATTCTCCTGTGTGTGCCACACCCCCCTCATCTACCCCGTGTGGATTCCTCATGTTCACCAGCTGTTTCCCGTTGCTGTCATTATATGGCATTTAATTAGTGCCAAAACTCGCCCGCATAAAAACCACGCGTAAGTATGCACTCGCGAGCAGAAAACCCATCCTCTCTACGCGCTCGCATTTGCACAGCACTTGCTTGCTCGCTCTCTTGGCGTTAAATTAGTGCCAAAAGTCAAACCACGTGCTCGTGTGCGTTCGCGCGCTGAAAACCAATCCTCTCTACACGCTCACGTTTGCTGGACCCTATCTACGCGCTTGCGTCTGCACAGCACTTGCTCGCTCTACAGGATGAATTTTGACACTTTGGAGGCGGGAACAGTGGCTATTGTCTCTGGATTGTTTGATTGTTTTTTTTTAATATTGACTACAATTGACTATTTGCTTTGGTAGAAGATGAAGATAACCGGTCAGTGACCGCGGTTAAGTTAGTCTTATATTTCATATGAATTCAGCTCTTTTTACTTTGTTATACTTTATATATGATTTTATTTAAGCTAGTAAATACAGATGGAAAAAATGTATGACAAAAAATATTTAATTACGCTACTACAAACATATATAACGTACTGTTCCACCTCGTTTGTACGTCTTGTTTTAAGCGTTTTTGAGGCATTTGCAGTTCAATATGAATATCTTCAAAGCAAGTATACACAAGTGGCGATCGAATGCTTAAAATTTTTTCTCCCATTGGCGTCAGCTCAGTTACACTTTGTTGCGATGGCAGCCTCTCTTGTATCACAAGCTGCAGCGAGTTCGCAAAATAGTCCAAGTTAGCGACTCCCAAATCATCCATTGTTTTTTTTTGTCTCGCAGTTGCGTGCGCTTTAAGTGGGATTGTCCATTAAACGCTATTCCCACCTCTCAAAACTTTATTTTACAAAGATTGCAAATCGCTGTGCTATCTTTTTAGAGATTGCCAAAAACTAAATGAGTAAGTATAGGATGTGGATCGGTCACGCATGGCCGATACCCAATCCGTCAAATAGGTCTGGATCGGCGCCGATACTGATCCGAATATCGGATCGGTGTATCTCTACTTCTAAACTTTAAGTCCATGCCACTAATCGTGCTAACGTTTACACCATATCTATTAGTTATGGAATATTTGCTTGTTTACGGAATTGTTTTGAATGGAGAGAGGAAAAAGCCAAAGTGTATGGATTCGGTCTTAAACACAGTATGGGTCATTCACACAAATTAATTTCGTAACATATCAGTTTTCTATAATTTTTAAAATATTTATATTGTTTAAAATGTCGATTTGGTCTCTGGGGTTAATGAGTTGTGGTGCAAAACAACTGACAATACAAAACAATTGAATAATTGAACGTATACATTATTATAATAATTGATTGTTTATTGTGGGTTACTTGAAATAAACCTTGATAGATTTAAAAACACAAAACATCTAGTTTTGTGTTATTTGATCTTAAAACTTAAATTATTGTGCCTATTTATGGAAAATGGTTGAGGATCATTAAATCAAAGCTACGAATGACATCATTTTAATATAGGCCTACCTAATAAGGTAATGGAAATTGCTCTGCATAAAATGTAAATACTTTATTTCACTCTAACATTTCATTTTTGTCGATGGATTCTCTTTTTTGGGAGAATTACCAAATATAGGTTACCGCTATGCTTCCATTTTCAAAATAAAAGGGGTTTCTATGGATTTCAGCTACGATCGCAATGTAAGTTAAAGATGTTCCACATTTTGTTTATTGCCAAAATCACTGAAGGCCTAACCCGCTTTTCTTGTTTGATGAATTAATTAAAATTCTGGCTTGGCCATGCCTTCTTATTTGGGCAGTGCATGGTGGGTGTTACTGCGCTGATGAGGGGAGAATACGCTCAACTCAAAAGTGTGTAACTGTTTAAGGGCTTTTTTGACTTAAACGCCTAATGGGAGAATAGACCCCTAAAGTAATAGGTGTAGTTTCAGAATTACATCTAGGACTCACAACATTTAGGTAAAAGCATATTTATTTGGTTTTTACATTTCCAGTTGATCCATCCAGTACTTCTGGAAATTGTACAGGTTGGTGAGTATGCAAGAAGTACTGATTATGTAGGTGGAGCAGGTGACGGAGCTGTCCAGGGAATACAATGCTGTCATTCTGACTGCCCCCTTTGTAGTTTAATTAACAGATGCTTTGCTTCATCGCAAATTTGTCATGTACTACTGGGTTGTCGCTCTTGTGTTCTGCTTAGTCTGTAAAGTGAAAGAGACACCAACAAGTAGGTAGACTGCCTTGGATTCTCTAGTGTATTCTAAAATCTCTTGATTTACCTTCTTTCCATTTAGAATAGAGTAAAAACACCACAATAAGAACAGTATGACCCTGAAAACATTAATAGCTGCATTGCTGCACCTGCTTTCTTCCTAGCCTGTGATGTGTGTGTTAAGCCTAGTACTTTGTCTCACCAAGGATAGGAAAAAAATATAAAAATATGATAATTTAGTGAGGGGCGGGCTAACTTCTCTTAGGGCTCTAGGCTGACATGGGTAGGGGGGGCCCTAAGTGGGCCATTTGAGCTATTTTTTGGACCTGAAAGAGAAATGAGAGGGAATTCAAAATGATGGGATATCAGTAATATGCTAATCAAAGCACGGGGTGCCAGCAGTAAAACTTACTGATCAGGGTGGGGGTGGAAGTTCTTTTGATCCCCCATTGTGCTTCTGCCGATGGGGGATCAATTAACAAATCAATTGGGGATCAACTGGCAAAATGTAAGATTTATTATTATAAATTATAATATTTTAACTGAAATTGTATATAAATGAATCCTGTGACAGCTTGGCACCCCATCCTGGGTTGTTCCTGGCCCCCCATGACCCTGAATAGGATAAGTGGTCTGGAAAATGGATGGATGAATGGATGGATGGATGGAATATAAATGCTTTGTCGTGTACATTTTATCTATGTATTTTGTTACAAAAAAAAGAAGGTTGAGATCAGCAGAGGGCCCCTAGAGTGCATAGCTCAGGGTCCTCTCCAATTTCCGCCCCTGAATCTATGGTCTAGAGATGTAATAATGAATCATAAATATGTCGTGGGCCGGTATATTGAGACCTCTTATAAGCGATGGATGAGCCAACAAGATCCCTCATCCTCCACTACAGAAAATAGCTGATCTTTTCCATTAATTTAGTAATTGTGTGTTTAGCTCTGGTGCTGATAACTTGGAATATTAATAAAGTTTAATTATAAGTGGGCAATATCAACCAAGACACTTCAAACCAATGTCAGCGTCTTTATTTGTAACAGATATTAGCTGATACCAATGTGTCAACTATTACTACCATCGAAAATAAAATGAATTACTTTTTGTGCTACAAATGAGGGGTGTTTCCCAAAACGCCATGGTGCAAAGATTATCAAGTAGTGCTTCCTTTATGAATATTAACAAGCCTGCCCTGCCATCCTATGGGTGTGTCCAAAATCGGATACTTACACAGTAGGTACTGAATTTTGTCAGAAGCCTACTATTCGACCGTTAATGCAGTACATGCTGTAAAGTATGTATGCATGAGAAGAATTTGCATACATGTGGGCTCAGTGAGGTCACTATCTGTCACACTTGCCCCCTTATTGACTAATCAAACACCAAGAAAAGAGTGACCAGCAACACCTGTTGGCATGGCAGGAACTTATCCTGACAAGATACTGTATTTCACCTACGACATAACGAACAAATATGCAATTTCAGATACACAGATTGTTTTGGAAATTTGCATGCCAGTGCTGCTACTTTGCACATCTACTTGCAGTCTATGAACATAAGAGTATGCAACCCAGAAGCAGGAGTATCTTTAAAGAGGATTTTGCCTCCAAAATCACTGATAACCAATTCTGATGTTATGGATCAATGCAATCAAATAGACACTTTAATAAGCGATTTATCATTATGCATCAATGCATCTTTACACCCTTAAATAAAGCTAATTTCTCATGTTGTTATTAGAGGCACTGTTCATCCTCCAAATCGTAGGTTTTGTGTGCATGTTAGCCAGCTACAGAATGGATTCTTATACAGAGTGACTTGCATCACTTTATAAAGTATAAGCCGTGTTGTGGCTAATCAGATCAGGCCTATCATCCTCCTTTACTAATATTCAGGGCTATCCGTCATGTGTCTGGCATGCTGAGAAAATGTAAATGACAACTAATTGAATGTTAGTTAAAGTGACAACAAAGTCTGGGTGCTTCTCAGTATGCGTACTTGACTGTTCTTCTGTACCCGTTTTATGTTATCTTCCATTGCCAAATACCAGTTCCAATACTGAAGAACAGAAGTACAGAGGACGGTAAAGATCCCCAGATGTCATTCTTGCCACACCCCTAATATCAAGGATACATTGGTTGCATCCTTGCCAAATGAGACCAGTCTCCTGATTCATTCTACCCCAAGTTTGGTCTTGGGAGGCAAGTTAGCAAGACTGGTCTTTGTTACCTTTGCATTCTTGGTATTGAGAAACACTCTCTGTCATCATGGATATCTACTACTAATGTCTGCAAAAAGTACAGCTGAAGGTAAACAATGTCCATTTTTAGAGTGTAACATTTAAGATTAGCATTATTGCCCATATCAGGTGGTGTTACAATTTGTGTTATTAGTTTTTAGTTATTCAAAAAGCATCTGCCTGTATATTCTGGTGGATGAGGTTATCAAGAAACCTCAGCTTGTATTTTCTGGTAAAAAATCCTGATTTGCCTGGTATGGCAACTGCACTTGCAACATGAATATTTAAGGTAGCGGAATAAAGGGTAATGTGGTAGAGAAAACCTGGCAGCAGTGACAATGCTTTAGGCTTAGCGGCCTTTCTTGTATTAGACATTTCTTATATTTCCTGTTTTTGGCTTCAGAGTGAAATTTCATCAGTTGCCTGGCTCTACACCACACCTTCACGCTCTGGTGTCCAGGTTCCTGCAGTGCTGTTATGTGGTGCAAAAACACACCTATGGGGGGATATTTAAGCAGAGCGTGAGGCAGAATTTCTGTTTTGAACTCTGAACTTATTAAGAAAAAAAGGAGTTTTTTGGGTGCAATCACCTATCTCTATAGTGCCTTTGTTGTGCTCCATGTCATTGTGGTGAACCCTACACTAATTATTCAGCTGACCCTGTCTGGATGACATGACCTAGTCCTTCCCCAGAAGAGCGGCCGTTGTTACAATGAAAGGATATCCACTATTGTGCTAGTCATACAAGTCATGCAAATGTGTCACGATTAACTCCGAACGTTTCTTCTTCAGTCTTTTTGAAATGTGTGGACCAGTGTTTTAAATGCATCTCCCATTTGTGCTTGGTTGTTCGGACTGACAACTGCCTCATGGATCTCAACGCACACTGTCAATCAAAATGAAGAAGGAAACTTAAATTACGGGAATAACTCATAACCATGGCTCTTTGACTTATCAGCCATTGTCATGTTCTGTTACAAATGCAAAAAAAACACAATAAATAAATAAATCCACTTGTCCAAAGCAGGGTCATGTGTTGCTTCAGAGACACTCCAGGCAATTTGTTGTAGGCATAGCAGTGCCTTTATGTTTTTATTAGCATGGCTACTCTTTAATCTTTAAAGAGGTCTTACATATGCAGTTAAATTGTCATAACTCATTTTTGCAGCATTTTGCATTGTATTAATGTGTGTATTTATTATGGAGGGTGTTTTATGACAATGTTCAATAAATAATTATGTCATTTAAATGATTATTTAAATCACGATTTAAAATCCCATTTAAATTATTATTTATAAATATGTCATGTAAATGATTGTTTAAATTATTTAAGTGCTATTTAAATCATTTAAAATTACAATTGAAATGATACCAGCAGTATATAAATGATAAATATTTATTTATTGAATATTGCCACAAAACACCTTCCATAGTTTATATCTGCTTGGTTCAGCAATTTCTTCATATAATTCATGTGAAGGTTTGGGACAAGGCACAAATGTCATGACGGGATTACGAAATAAAGAAAAGGTGCTGATGTCTCCTCACTTGTTCTATTTTCAGTACTTGTCATTGTGTCCCAAAAAGTGCATAGTTGGTAGAAAGATGATACCCATTGTATTTAAAGGTGAAATATGCATTCAATAAGGACACCAATGAACTAGGTAACATATGGCTCACTAGCACAACCTTGAGGAGATTCATTGAGACTTGAATACAAGACTTATCAATGAAGCTATTAATACAGAATGAAAACAAAATACACACTGATTTCTTAAAATAAGATTTTTAATATTACTTATTATCATAAAGATATATTTACACACTTTACAGAAATAGAAAATAAAAACACAAAGCTACACATGAAAGGAAAAAATAAAATAGGTACTCCAAGAGCTAAAGCTTATTTTTTATAAATTAGAAACCAAAATGTCATATATGTACACAGTATTTCAACCATTTGATACACTTGTTTTATTTCCTTTTATTTTTTTGTCCTGTTTAACATCAAAATGGACACGTGGACTGTACATTTGGCCTAGAGAGCATTGTGAGCAGATCCTTTAAAACAGGAGTGAGACAGTTTGAGAAATACAACATGAGCTGTGCTATTTTCTGTCTGTAAGTCAGTAATACTGATAGTGGACTGGCTGATGGGCATGAATATTCCATATTTCTCTGTATTCTGTGTATTCTGATGGTGGACTGACTGCCGCAGATCTGGAGGACACTAGGGACACTAGAGAATTTTATATTGCACATCCAGTTAGTTTGAGACAGCTGGATTTGTTTACATGCAGTTTTCTGTTTTATGGCTTTCTTCTCGGTTGTATAGATGTAGCAGTGCTGATGATTGCCCAGCCCACAGACTCGCATAAATTCGCCAGATCAGATTTCAGAAGCTTGAGCCTACAGAGGCTATTCTACATACTTTATGACAGGTCTTTCAGAAGCAAGCAAATCAAATTTGTCTCATGCAAGCCGTTTCCTCTTTCCCTGGGTAGGATAAACCCATAGTATAAAGCAAGAGAAATTGACTAAAGCTCTAATAGGTTGCGACAGCACCACCCAAGATAAAAAGTAAGACTTTATTGATTCTCTCAGTCGATGGATCTACAACTAAGAGCAGCACGAAAGCATGACCTATATCTTTGACATCATTAGTCTGTTGTTACCGCTGCTATCTCAGTTTTCCTCTACGGTCAAATCCAGTCAGTTTACTACTTAAATTTCCCAACTTCCTCCTCACCAAATTCACATTAATTACAACTGAACAACAGCTGAACAAATTGATACAAATTCTTTAAATATTTTTGAGAATTAAAATACTAAGTGCATAGGAATGTCACACAAAAATCTTACACTGTATCTTACAATGAAGGAGAAAATAACAGAAAAAACTAAATATGAGAATTCTTTCATTTGTGTAAGTTCTCCCAAGAAAGGCCATTATGGTTCATCACTTGGAGTATAATATATCACGTTAACCTAAATATGGGCATGTTTGTCTGCTTAACCAACAAGCGCTATGAACCTGATTTGTGGGTTGTATGTTGCAGAACTACAATGAAAAATATAACTTTTCAGACTCTGAAGAAGCTTTGCACAAGTCAGATAATAATCAGGTGAACTATATAAGAAATTTGTATAGGATTTATTTTCTTGCAGCATATTGGAATTGCAAAAGTGCAGTATCACATTCATACAGAGAGGTCTTATCGCAAATCCAAATGGTCGGTGTGGGGAAATTTGCTTTTGACATGACGGTATTTTGTGCACAGTTTGACACAAATGTGAGACTTTGGGTTTGTGATATTTGGCTTTTGGTGAAAACCCTACAGATTTGTAGAGCCATATAAATACAATTTACAAATTACTTTACTATTGTTTATGTTGACTGGCTTGCCTCTCTTAATGGGTAGCTCTCCTGGTTCAGATGGTGAAGATACATTCAAGAAACAGAGTGCTGATACAGACATTGCTGGGCACCTTACTGGCCCGTTCCCAAGAGCTGGGGTCCAGTTACCCCTCTCTAAACCACCTGCCCTACCCCAAAGGAAGCAAGTCCTTGCTTATTCCCTAAGGTCACATGGACAAATAAGACATTCATCTAGTGAACAACAGAACAGAGTAATTTCCTTGTTCTTTCAAAAAGTTAGACAAATATAGTGAGACAAATTCTTAGCATTCACTCTATCGCTAAGTGAAAATCTTTATTGAATAGCACTTCTGAATATGCTTTAAAGAGCTCACTGTGCTGGGGACATTAGTGTTTGAGAGCATTCCTATTGTTACATTTTTAGAACGATAAATGCTGAGAGAATGCTATAAAGTCTGAAATAAACTAGATTGCAGCCTGAGTTTTCGCAAACAGTCCTGTAAAAGAAGCAGGGAGAAAGAGCCTGTTAAGAGACGGCAGGCAGACTGAATGCTGATGTGGTTTAATTGGCTTTACAAGCTGTGTGCGTCTGTCTTGTGAATGGTTATGTCTAACAGGTGAGAGGTGGTGGATGAGGCCCCCGCCATGAGAGCTCAGAATCTTAATGACCAGCTTTAGGCATTCTTGGGGAGGCCCATATGAGAAAGATTAGCCAAGGGATGTAAGGATTGTAATGATATGTGTCAACACCACCTGTGCTGTGAAACTGAAGCTGGAAAGCAACGATAACACACCAAGGAATAGTAGTGGTTGACAAGAACTGTATCTTTGCACATAGCTAGCAGTGTATACACAGGCAGGGACATATACTGAATAAGTATACATACACATCTATATATATAGTGTGTGTGTGTTTGTGTGTGTGCGCACGTGTGTGTATGTGTGTATATATAGTGTTTCATAAAGAATAAAGACTGCTCAGATATAGGCTTCTATTACAGCACCCTGAGGAAATAAAATTAAAAAGAAAAACAGTAACAAATTCCAGTATGATATAAAGGCATAGCATCCCATCAATCATAAGTCACAGTCCATTCTACACCAGGGGAATCCAGCCTGGTACCAGCTGGTCAGAAAAAGAGTGCATTGTGGGTAGGCTGGATACAGTCGCTTATCTACCGAGCTGTCAAAGGGACTGCTTTGATAAAGGTTTTTTGGTGTAATACTATCCAGCTATCGGTTTCCTGCATTTTGCAGATGGCCTGTATGGCTGCGCATTTAGATGTTTCTTTAAGTACGTTTTTAATGCTTGTGTCGGTATCAGTATTTTGAGACTTTTCAGAAGAGGTAACCTGTCTATTTTCCGGCAGCATATTGCGGAGCAAATCGTTATTTGGCACTTGATTAAAAGGGGAGGTTTTCTGCAGGATACGCAGCCTGCCCCAGCCAGTGAACAGTCGTATGTGAGAGTGCTCCTAGATACCTAGATGTGTTGGAGCAGCTGCTGAAGGCTGCAGGGGTGGGGAAGGCGACAGCGGTTCAGGCTTCCAGAACAGAGGGCTGCAGGCAGAATTCCATGTGGGACCATGCATCAGCACTCTCGAGAAAGATTCCTGCAACCCAGGAGTTAATTGGCTGTTTAAGTGAGTCGCTTTGGGTCGAAGCGACTTCTGAATAAATGGATAAAGGTTGACACAAATGGCAAAATGTCTGGCTGAGTGCACAGTTTTGTGATAATATAATGGAATTGTTCGGAATTCACTTTAAATTTACTTTACATCAGAATAATTACACATACAGAGCAGTAATTACAATATTAACGAAACTTGTGACAGCCTCATTTGTTTTTTGATTTCTGTTCAGAGAGAAGTATTGGAACAAGTACTGTATGAACTGACAGTCACATCTGGGTGCCAAGATCTAACCCAGTTTTCACTGCCTGATTTTACCCACCTGAACTACCACTACACATTCCATTAGCAGTGCCAAAAATGGCAGCATAACATTGCAATTAATGGCCATGATAACTGGAGATAGCGGGAATATCACACCTTAGAGAAGTGTCTGATACTTTAAGACTAAAATGGTCTGGACCAGACTCCACATAGGCCACACGTCATGCAAAGTGTGTGGCACTCGGGAGATGGCAACAAAGGACCTCTAAAAAGCAAGTGAGAATAACAGAGAGGGAGAGAGAGACATAGAGAGAGAGAGAGGGTGCAAAACAGAGAATCAGGCAGCTTCGGGCTGCATGCCCATCTCTTCTTACCCATCCCCCCTCCCCTCTCATTTCTTTGCAGAGCTGAGGGTGAGTAGCTTTTCCTGCTTTCTGGACAGATGAAGAGTTGCGAGAAGAACCAGGAGGCCCCTTGGACGTGTCTCCTCAGGCTGGGTTAGCCTGGGCCCCCTTTGTATTCCCCCCCGAGGCAAAGGAAGAGCTTAGAAATCAGGACCTGGGGGGAGGGGCGTCTTACCAATGTCTGCAGAAAAGAAAAAAAAAAGATATGATCAGGGAATTGCATTAATGATTAAGGCAATATGGCTGAGATTCTTTGTGCCTTTTCGTACTTTTAATGGGGTCTTATGAGAATCTTCGAAAAGCAATGAGAGTCCACTCTAAAAGTCTGGTAGGATGGCCGAAGCATACACATGCTTTTAAGAATTTTGACACGATAAAGGCACCAGGATTAGATGAATAAGAAATCACTACAACAAACAGAATAGTCTCATGGACCACTCAGAGGTGCTGCAAACTAGGGCTAAATATTGCAATATTTATAAAGCAAAAAGGAGGTGAAAATTTACCCAAAACACACTATAGCAAAGTGGGATTAGCCATCTACCAATATAGTCTGTCAAGTTGGTGGTGTTGCCACAAGTCGTGCCAGTAGACAAATCACTTTTGCTCAATATTGTCTCTATGGAATCCAAAATAATTCCATACAGCAGAAGACATGTCTTTTTGTGACCAGTTCTTGTTATCTTTTCATTTTTGGTTATGATTGTTTTGGAGAGTGCATGCAGAGCTCATGAAAAAACAATAAACATTACACTGATTTTTTTTTTTAACATGTACTAGATAATCTTGAAAATAAACCATCATTAAAATTGCAAAACTTAGTAAGTTTTGTTTTCTATGACAGAGTAAAGATATTGTAGCAAAACTTATTGATGATCTCCATTCAGGGAAACTTATTGTGGGCCTTCCTTACTCGCTTGAGGAATTTTATCACCAAGATTTCAAAATGCCAGAATAGCATTGCTTTTGAGAATACTGTCCATATACTGCATACCACAGTATAATGCCTGCATGGTATGATGGTACGAAAAATTAGATACTGCCCAAGCCTAATCTCAACCCAGCTGACTATGGTCTTTGTGATATGACGATTGCATGTGTATAATATTGCCTACTGCATACTAACAATGGCTTGGAGTAATAGGCAGAGTGCTGAAGGTTTGAGGGTCTTCTATTGTCAGAAGAGTTAATGTATAACAGACATTGTGACATAAACCATATATTTACCAAAGGCTGGTAACCCAGCTTTACAACAGGATTTAAGCCACTTGTTGTAGTTCAAGAATTTGGTGTAAAAAGCAGAAGATAAAACATAAAATGAGCCAAAAATAAGAGTTTCTAGAAAGGGAATCACAAAAAAATAAAGATCATGGCCTTTTTTTGACTAAAGTGAGGTTTTTGAGGCTGCAGTGTATTTCACTGAACCATTCCTTTTTATTGAGCTACACACTTTCCTGCAACATCCCTCATTGTGCAGAAACATTCCTGCACTGAAAACAAGCATTGACCGCTCAGCTCAGAGAGAAAATGCTTGTTTTTTAGGCAAAGCAATGCATTGAAATTGGGAAGTCTTTTATTGTTCCAGAGGCAAAGAGGGTCTTGCCTTGTTTTTGAAATATAATTTTACTTTTAGTGTTTAAGATTTTATTCTAAGGACCAGAAAATGCCAGATTATTTGGGAAAATTATTTTGTGTATGGGAAGTTTGGTGAATGGTTTTAATTGACTTTTTCAGAATGTGGGAGAGAGACTATATATAAACAGCTTAGACTGGGTGATGTTGGATTATAGTCTGTGTTACAGAAAAAGTGTATTGAATTTCCACCTATCCAGTTAAAACTGCAGGAGTTAATAAAGAAACAGAAGGCCCAAGACTTATAAACTCACAAACTCATGCTGCCTGATTATTTTGTCAAAAATGAAGACTAGTGACATAGCCATTGTCTTCAAAAAACCACCATAATAGATTTTTGTAACATTGTACATTCTTCATCTTGGATCTTGTGGAATAATAATCGCTCAAGAGATTTCTACCTGTTTTGAGTCATGGAAAGGGGCCCATTAATTTACACAAGCCTTTGTTTAGTATGTGCCTGTTCACAGTATCATATATTGAACCCACAAGAAAATTTGCTGCTTGGCTATTCATAATTCTGCTTCTCAGCCTTGCTGTCACTTGCCTGCTGTTTGTCACCAGAGCTGTTGCTCACAGACTGGAGATCAAAATGATTGGAAGAGCATTTACGGGTGGCAGGATTTTAGCTCTGCTGCTGCTAGCTGATGTCAAGGGTCTGGAGTCAGGCTGTGAATTTTCCGTTTCATTGCTCAGTGAAAAACATGCCTGTTGTTTCTGGTAATTTTGAATTTAGCTTCTCCGTTCTCTGCTTATTTTGTTGATGTTTGGAAATCACTGGGATAGTTTCATTTGTACCTTTTGTCATAGCGTACTTTATCTGATAAAGAACTCTAGTGTTTGGTGTATGTGCTCAATGGAAAAAAATGTTTGGAAGAATATTCTTCATGACTCTGACTGGGATATGTGGTCAGAGGATGGATGGATTGATGCATGGGTGGATGGAAGGATGGGTGTACGATACTCTTCAAACCAGGCAAACTTTGTAAGGCCATGAAAGACTGAATGAAAATGATAAGGTCACTGTGATGCTTTGGAGTTCAGTTGGTAAGCAGTGCAAAAATACAGCAGTGAGACAAAACATTATAACCCCTACGTAAAGCAAATTATGTTGATCATGTAGTAGAAACAGTTAGCATCAAGGTCTAGGATATATTAATATTCAGTACTCTGAATGCAGAAGAAATTGGTAGGGATAAAGATCTGAGTGACTTTCACAAGAACCAAATCAATAAGGCCAGATGACTGGGTCAGAGCATCTCTGAAACAGCAAGCCTTGCGGGGTGCTCACTGTCAGTTGTGGTGAGAGCCTACTGAGAGTGATCTGAGGAGGGAAAAACCATGAACCACCATGAACAGGATGTTGGGTGGCCAGAACTCGTCAATGTGGGATGTGAACGAAAGCTATCCTGTCTGATACGAACCAACAGAATGCCTACTGTTGCACAAATGGTAGATAATTTTGATGCTGATCAAAGATGTGTCACGACACATGGGGCATCGTTATTTTATCTGAAAAAAAGGCACCGTTGTCAACATTATTTACTTCACACATCATCATGTGACACAAGTACCTCCTTTAAAGTCCCTTATGCAATTACTTAGGAAAACATCACCCTAAACACAAGGTGAAGTAAGAGAAAGAAGAATGTGGTAACATTGTAGCTTTAGGCTATTATTCTAGTACCAAGGTGTCCTCAGTCAGCATTGGTGCCTTCCTGATGGACCGAGAGGCTAAGCCAGTTGCAGTCAAATCAACAAGCTACTAACAAACCTATTTTTGATCATTTCCCAGACTTCTGGTAGACTAATATTTCATTAAGCACCATAGTCTTTCACCATTGTGGTGATTTTTGAAATTTAGACCATTATGCTTTACTTTCATCATCAAGGGGATTACATTACAATTACATTGGAATTACTAGTCTCATTGTTGCACTGCATAGGAGATACTGTAAATCTCTTTACCCTTTTAATCCTTTTGTACAGGTACATTTTTGGGCTAAGCAGACCAGACCTAACGTGACAGAGTATGATCATAGGAGAATGTGAGAAACAGACAGGCTTATCTCACAAAGAGTATTTTGGATAAGGTTTTAGTCATCTTCCTTTTTGGCCAAATAGTGTATTTTTCTATAGATTGTCTCATGGTTACTGTTCCATACTCACCTGTTCTAGAATGGCATGGGCCCTTTGTGCGAGAGGCGAGGGCGTGGGCGTCGTCTTCTCCATCCAGCCGCTCTGTGGCTTTGGGCACTCCTGGCTGGGCTCTGTTGAACCAGCCTCCTCAAGTTGCCCACATCCACCCCCTTGCCCTGCTCCACGGAGGCCATGGGTCCTGTGGGTGAATAGCGTTCTTAATTTAGCTGTATCGTTGAATAAAGCCATTCAGTTTGAAATTTGAAAAAGGCGCTCTCAACATGGAACTTTTTTTTCGAGTCTTGTCCCTTAACTATTATTTCACCTGGCATTGATTGCAGTGACCTTGCACATTGTGTCTGAGTATTTTTTGAAAAAGTCTTTTTATGCTAATACTTATGCTAAATTAATTGGATGTCGCTGCACTCTGTCTTTTAGGATTTCATCAGACTCTGTACATGTCGTACAAAATCCCTATCCTGGAGTGGAGGTGCTAGCCTCACAGTCTTCATTAGTCTCGAAGAACAAGGGGAGCAGATGGAGAAGTGGAACAAATGTCCTGTGTCATCCTTCCTCGAGAGAGCAGATTTTTGACGCTCCAGAGGTGGAGGTGTGGCTCAGACTTCTCACTTGCTGCATATTCATTCAGGTGCTGCAGGAAGGCTGGCCGCCCATTTGTCTGTATGCACTTGTGGGTATGTGCAGATGTTTCCCATCATCCGTCAGTGAGTGCAGTCTGACCCTCTAAGCTCTCCTTGTGTAACTTTGCGACTTTGTCTTTATAACCAACTTCTCTGAGCCCAGTACAGTCTATTCTGCTTCCTCATGATAATGTGCATGTACTCTTGCCGGCTCTCAATTTAAACTTGTATCTATGAAACGTTAAAGTTACATGATTTGAAGAGTATGTTTTGTGTTGCATATCTCAAAGCTCAGTCTGAGGTAAATCCTATCCAGTTTACTGAATCTGGGAAGGAACTTGTGCGAAAACCTCTTACTGTTCATTCATGAGTCGGTATTAGCCAGTGGCAGATTGTATCTCCATGTGACATTGCATTTTACTGCTTAACAGATTGTTATTTAAGGCCTCTTTGAATTTTTAACACTAGCTATTTTGAATAAAAGCAGGTACGACACAGGATCCTGAGACAAATATATGGTGAACAGCCTTGCTTAGCCTGGTACATGTCCCCAAGGAGGCCTCTGGCTGTTTCTGGTGGCCTTTGCAGTCATCTTTATCACGCAATCTCTGGATCTATCTCTGCTTTAACCTCACACACCAGCCTCCAAGATGAAAAAGTCTTTTGTCTGGAAGTAGACATCCTTCACTGCCTTATAAATACAAATAAAAACCTCATACTTTGTGCATAACATGCTTACAAGCTTAGATGCTTTTCATTTCAGTCATTATATTTGAACAAATTTCCAAAAAGTATTTACATCCCCGTTTTTGATTTTGATGAAATTGGCATGTTAATTACACATAACTTCCAAAGCTCAGAAATGTTTTGTTGATGTAAAAATATTCCCTTTGTGACAGAGCACCTTTTCTACACTTAGCAAAATAATAATTCAGAGTATTTTCTTTTGAGCTGTAACTTTTCTTTCTTTTTACTATCACAGCTCCATGGCTCTAGGTTGTTAGCTCAAAAAGATGACTTTTTCATGATATGATCAAATTTTTATAATGAAATGCATATGTATTTGTGTTACTTCTATACAAAACATTGACATGTCACTTGATCCCCTTCATGAAATAAGCGCCACCAAAAGTTTTTTGTTTGTTTGTTTCTTCTTTTTTTTTTTAAAGAAGTGCTGTTTCAATCCTCAGAAAAGGCATTGGGGCAGGGGGTTCAAAAAAATTTCACTTAATTGGGAAGAAAGTACTTCTGATGGCAAAAAAATATGTTATTCAAATTGGTGTAAGAGTTACGTTGCTCTGAACTTACAAAAAAATGTCACTGAAACTTCATACTCAGCTCACTCTTTTCAATCCACTTTTGAAATTAAATTAGCCTAGAGTTCAATTGAAGTCAACCTAAAGTGTAGCCTAAACTGTCTGAAGTGTGTTGGGAGACTTTTTAGAGAATTTTAACTTTGTCTTGCAAGATGAAGTCTAGGCATACCACTGGTCACGTTTGCAGTCTGAGTTGTCTTAAATAACTCTGGATAAACGGATAAAGCAAGGCTTTTCAGAATGCAAAATTTCCACCCTGTGGTGTTTACATCCCTTTTAATGTGGGTTTCCCAATGTTCAAGTTCCATTTACGTTAATCTCCTTTTTGGAAGTGTAAACCATTTCTGTGAACTCTCAGGTGAATTCTTTCATACTGGATATTAGGACTTTTGTGCATGTTTCATTACGTTTTGAATGAAATAAGTCCTGTATTGTTTTTAGAGCTGTAATCCTTATGCACATTATGTAGTATGAATTAAGGTCATTTATCTGCATTAGTCTGAATTTTTCCTGTTTTAACATGCAAAGACATGAGCGTATTGATGGGTTGACGATATGGAGCAGCGCTGGCATGTATAGCTCTTTTTGGAGGTTCGCTTTCTGCAGCTGTTTGAAACTGATTCAGTTTGTCTCCCGTGGATGAATCCTTCACCCACCCACCCATCTCCAAATGGCTTCATTGGCAGGGGATCTGGGCTCAGGGCCTTGGTGTTGGGCCACATCGATGCCACGCCTATAAGCTATGAAGGGACAGAGTGATGCTTGCCTCATTCCCCCCAGGATCTTACCTAGGTCTTTCAGAAGTCAGTCCCAGTTTGTTCCACATCAGAGAGCTGCATGCTACAAGTTTAGCACAGCAACGAAGGACTCACATCTCCTAAGAGATATACTCCTTGCCCTCAATTAATGTCTGTGACCTGTAATAAAGTTGATAGTATCGTGAGATTTTATTTTTGGGGAAAACCAACTATCTTGGCATTTGGACCAATTGCCTTTCACAGCTGTCCTAGAATCCAAGTGGTACTGAGTAGCAGTCAGTTTGCTGCAGAGTATCCTAAGGGCAAACCACATATTGACGTGATTACACATTAATGCGTGCCTGTCGCTCACCATTCTACAAAAGAACGAGCACCACCTATTAGGCGTTAATTGCTGCCAGTGTCCGTGGTTCCTGCTCAGGGTTGTCTTTCAGCTGTCCCCTCTGTCTCCTCAACTGCTTCATTAGCATAGGCTAAATCAAATAATTAAATCAAGTTTCTCATGAAGTCCATGCTTTTAGAGCATTGCTATCAGTATTTAAATGGCAATATGCTGTTCTCTTCACTACCAAGAGTGCTGATCACACTTATCGTTTTAATTAAGTGGGAATTTCTGGAATGTTATGGGAATTATAGATACTAGTACTATTCACTGCTTTGAATGAAAAGAGCTTAGAATAAGAAGGCCGTCGTGTCCCTAGCCAGACAGCCTCTGGACAAACGATGAATGGGCCAGTCTTTACAGACTAATCCCTGGCCTGCCTCTGTGTGCTTCTCAGGTGCAACACATTATCTTTGGTTTTTTCTTTCTCATCAGACTCTCTCTCTTCTTTATCAGAGCAATTTTGAATAAGCAGGAGTCATGCACTGAGTAAGAGGGTGGGAGTGAAAGGTCAGGGGTTAGGGGTGATGGGATGCCTGCAGGCCCCACGTTTGTGGTGTGGCGGCACACCACGGTAAACGGTCGTGCCTGATAGGTCCACAACCAGGGTGTGAGGTTTCAAGCAAGAGGCCTAGAGGATTGTCGGAAATGGGAATGCAAGTTGCCTGGGGAAAGCACACAGAACCATGTGGGAGCTGAATCCAGCACTGATCCCTTGATTTGCTCGACGGAGCCAGTACGTTATCCTTATGCTCAGATCTTAATCCAGAAACAGGGAAAGAACCTGACTTCCACCTTGATATCCGCCTTGAATATAAACATGGCCATCATTAATAGTTTCCTTACACTGACATCTTCACACACACACATGCACATACACACACACACTTTTATTTCCTATGCTTTTAGTCCAGTGATGAAACATGAGAGCCAATATACTTATTGATTTGCTTTTAAGCTTCACAGAACATTTGGGAAATATTGTATACCCTCCCCACACGATTTATGCTTCTCAGCTGGCATCTCTGTCACCCTCCCACCCCCTAGCAAAGCAGAAGATTAGTACCAGAGATGTGGGGCACCGTTGCTGTGTACAGCACACGAGCAGCCTTCGTGCTGGGAGTAAAAGCATGGGCCTGCAGCTGGGGGGTGGTGGTCACCATAGTGAGATGAATCCTGCCATGCTGCAGCTTCCTGCGTAACCGGATGTGATGCCCTCTGGCACCTCTTTCCTGTCCCATGGCTGTGTGTGTGTCTATTAATGAGAAACAGCATCGTGGAAAGTTCTTATATTTAGTGTTTGCCTGTTAGTGTAATCCCACAAAATGGAATTACATTTATTTTGGTTATATATATATATATATATATATATATATATATATATATATATATATATATATATATATATATTCATATTATTTTTATATAGCACCAGTCCCAACAAGAACCCTAAAAATACAGCAAGGATGTAGCATGCATATTATAAATATGCTTGATTGTGAGCATCTAACAACCATAGGTTTTTAAATAAAAATGTCTGTATGCTCTTGTTACAGGCTTCTAAAAACGACTCTGTGTGACCGCTCTGCCCTCTTTCTAGCAAGCGATGTTTAGAAGCCGAAGTTGTTCACTGCAGTCCATTTGAGTAGGGCGTGGCACATGGCATGTCTGGTGATTTGTGTGTGTGTGTGTGTGTGTGTGTGTGTGTGTTTCTATGTAGACTGATGTAGTTTCACACTCTGCACCTGAGGATGCAGAAGGAGGAGACAGAATCCTACTGCCTTCCCAGCAACCTGAATTGATCTGCACTTCTTTTTGGAAATGCTCTGCTTTTTGATGCCAGAGTCGGCACTGCTTACCGCATGCCTACCACTGTTTCAGGGCCTTGGCATAGACTGGCACCAACCTCTTGTGGACTTTCAGACCATGTTTCCATGGCAGCGGTCGTGAAAGGCACTCAGTCAGGAACAAAAAAGAATGACGTTGTCAGTTATAATGGATCAGGTTTTCCAATTTACAAATTTCAGCACCCCAGCCTTGAATGGGAGATTAGCCTTGGCTGTATTTTAACTCTTTCCTGTAGGTCACTGGGCAGGGCCTGC